TCACAGAACAGACATGTCATTTAGTTCACAGCTCAAAAAACACATTGAAATGTTTCATTTGCACTTCACCCTCCAAACCGGTAGGTGACATCAAATCATCCCAAGGGTTTTCGTGACCAGAGGAAACTGAACCGAAGAAGAAGAAAAGGAACCAATCAGAGCTCACACTGCACCTCTGACTCTCGGCCAATCAGCTTCCTTCCTAGATGAATTTCAAAAAGTCGCCCGCCATGATTGTTGTGTTTTTAGACTGAGCTGAAGTCCGTCCGTTGTTTTTCAGGGTTTTGTTTTTACCCTGCGACCAAAGGAACTTTTCCAGTGTGTGTGTATTTTTGACACCGAACCAGGTGAGACGTGTGTGATTGTAAAGTTGTTTAAATGCTAGTTTAGGTCTTTGTTTGCTAACCGAACAGTTTACGGAGCTCGTAGCTTCCTCCTGTTTCATCAGCAGTACTTAGCTGCACGGTTGCTAATTTTGGAGGCTAACAAACACATTGAAATCTCAATTGGAACAAGTTTTTCTGGCTTGTGTTGAGCGGCTGAAGTTCGCTCAACGACGTAGTGTTTATACGACTGCTTTAAGCTAGTTAAACACTTAATGTGTGTGTTGGCACTTTTAGCATCCTCGCCTCTTCGTGTTCGTCCTGTTAATACAGTTTTGTGAATGTAGCATTTTGGTTTTCACTGCCATGTAAATCAGGATCATTAGCCTCTTAGCTAACTAGTTTCTCCTTATATAAAGGCCCAAGCTATGTGTTCATTTTAGTCAGGGGACAGCAATCATGTTACATTAATTGTGTTTAAAAAAGCCATGTTGTGATGTGTGTTTTGAGAGGAAACTGCTACTACCAGCAACTTAATACATATATAGAGGTTTAAACATTTGGTAAATGACAATAAATCTAGAAAATAACATGTTTTTTCAAGTTATTTCTACCTTTGTATCAATTTATCGTTTTAGAGACAACACACCACTACAATTACGTGTGTGATGTGCCTTTTGTGTGTAATTTGTGTAATAACTCACACGCAGTGTTACTCTAATGCATTTTACTTGTGTTCCTCTTCCTAATGCCAGATACCATGGAGTCTCGGTTTTCTCATCTGCGTCAGCGGGACACCAGTGTGTCCATGCTGAGAGTAAAAATGTCCCGCAGAAGGTCTCAGTCCCAGAAGGAGAATCGTGACCGGGCTGTGAACACACGGAGGCAGCTGGACAAGCTCCCAGAGATGGATGTCTCCTCCCTGGATGCTTCTATCGCGATGGCCAACTTGTCAACCATCAAGGAGAAAACTCAGAACAATGCACAACCTGTCAAAAGTAATGTTTCAATATCCTTGAACTTAGACCTAATAACCTGTGCAGGCCCCAACTGCAATAACCCTATATTTTAATGATTTACAATAGAGCTAGCAGCACTTGTTTATAGAATCCAGGTGATCACCAGGCTTCTCTGACCTTTTTCCAGATATGGCGGTAGAAGAGAGGTTAAAACAGCTTGAGCGTTGGAAAGAACGTAAGGCTCTTGAGAAGGAGAAAGAAAAGAGAGATAAAGAGCGCAAAGGTGTATTTAAGACCGGCCTGTATCATCCTAAAGACGCATTCACCACTGGTTCTCTGCCTGTGGTCCCAGCTGCTCCAAAAAGAGCAAAGGAGGTGAGCAAGGACTTAACTGTCGACTCGCTATTCTTGTAAATGTGAATGTAACTAATATTTTTAGCCCACTGTTTATGAATAAACTGCTTATAACAATGGAATAGGTCTGTGTAGCTGTGATGATGAATAACTTCTGGGATCATCATCTCATATTTGTTTTGTTTCAGATAAAAATGAACGCAGCTCCACCCCAGAGTTCCAGAGTCACCCGTTCAATGAAACAACCCCAGCAAGTGCAGCAGGTATTGTATTCCAACATCTTTCTGATATGAACATTTTCATTCAATTAAAACTGCTGTGCACTTTCATGTATCATTTACCTTTTTGCCAAAATCTCCACAGCCACTGAAGACACACGGCCTAAATACTGTGGCAAAGAAAGGTAAATGAATTGAAAGTCCCCTTTTATTTAAAATTATGCAAAACTTCCTATCCTATCCTGAGGCTGCAGGTAGCCGTAGGATTCCGACTTTTTGAAAAGTAAACAGTTAATAATCCAAAAGGCTAACAAGGTGTGTCTACGCACTGACAATGTTTGCGTTTTCTGTTTAAATGCCAATCCACCTCATCCTACCTTGTGGGAACAGAAGAATGATAAATAAAATAAGTAATTTGAATGAATATACCTATTAAAAAAAGTCAAACTGAGCAGCTAAATGAGAAGAAAAAACAAAACAGGCTCATTGCAACATAACATTGAAAGATTGTCTGTTACATTAACTTAATGCTACTTATATATACACTTCATTACACCTATGTGTGGAGTCGATTATCCACTGATCACTGAACCTGGTGGTTTTATTTCATGCCTGACCTCCTGCTCTTCCTTTAGCTCAACCTGCTGTGGAAAGATCAACCAGGATCAGGGGGGCTCCTGAAAAGCCTGCCCCAGCACCGGTTTCAACCAAGACCAAAGTTTGTGCCGGTAACTAATGAAAAAAAAAATCTTGCTGCATAACTTGACCTTGAGACTAGCTATCGTGTTGGCTTTGCCCGATTGTGTTTCCTTGTTGGAAACTCAGCCAGTGTCTCTTGTCATGCCATCCTACTGTAGTGGAGCCTACCGTACGAGCTTTGACGACCAGATCAGCCAACAGGCCTCCTGTTACAGCTGTTCCTGTGGTGAAAGACAAACCGAAGGACAAGGCTGCAGGTATAAACTGAGCCATGGCCAGAGTTCAAGCTGTTTTAGAATAGAAGAGGGAATACCATTGGAGATTTGATCATCAAAGCAAAATGAATGAAAAGCATTGGAGCAGCAACACATACCCTGTGCGTGTTTTACATACCCCAATCAGGCAACCTTTATATATTATAATAACGTAATTTACACCATATGATGATGATTGCAAATGTAAATAAGCTGATATCTGTGTTGCTAATATTCCTATAGAGTTCAAAGATGTCTGGATCCATCCATGCATTCTTGAGTTTTGTTGTACACACACCGACGGGTGAAAACAATACCAAAACCACTTTGAGCCTTGTTAAATGTCCCTTTCAACCCTCAGATGTGAGGACCACGAGGAGTAGAGCCATTGTCAACTCTGTGGCGCCCCCTTCGGGCAAAGAAAAGAATTGCAAAGGTATAGTTTCAAGTTGTCACAGAGCCTTGTAGTTTTTGAGACTGATAAGTTTTACTTTCCCCTTGTGAACAAAAGCAATTGTTAGTCATTTATACCCCATATTTTGTTCATCTCTTCCTTAAAATCTGCAGCAACTGTCAAGGACACCGTCCAGCCTCCTGCTCCCAAGGTGAGCATTCCATTTCTTTCTTAATCTTTTTATAGTGATTAAAATAATATATATATTTGAAAACGGTAATTTGCTGTTTCTGTCTTGTGTAGGAGCCTGAGCTGAAGAAGCCAGAGGAAAAACTTCATCCCTCCACATCTGAGGAGGAAGACATGGTGGTGGATCAGGATCCGATTGACTCCGTCCCTGTTGTGGACCCTGTTGAGGTTCCATCTTTATCTTCATTTGCTCCAGAGGGTTTTCTCTTCCAGGCTCCTGTCGGCTTGTCGTCTTTCAAGTTCGAGCCTCTCACTCCTCGCTCAGCAGACGCCTTCCTTACACCAAGGTCTGTCGGTTGCTTTACTGTGATATTGTTGCATGTGAGCCAAACCATTGAAGAAGTCTCAAAGACAGATTTTTATGTTTAAGCTCAAATTTATAATCTAAATGCCGTGCCATGAATCTTCTTACACAGCTCGAGCTTCAACATTCCATCAGTTCCCTCGTTCAACGTTGAACCTCAGCCTGAAACGTGCGAACCCTCTCCCCCTAAGTCCCCTCTCCGCTCCCCATCCCGTGCATCTCCCATTACGGCTCCTCCAACTACAGGCAGCCCCCTGGAATCAAAGCATGATGTACCATACTTCAGGTGCCTTTTTTTTATCTTTCTAGTCATATATGTTCAGAATTTACAAACAATTGTTTGGTTAATTCAGTGTTTCCCATGCTTTTTTTTTTAATCATTCAGATCAGAGATTGCAAATGAGACAGACCGGCTTAGGGTGCTGTGTGTCCAGTGGGAGCCTAAAGTGGAAGACGAGTCCATCCCAGAAGAGAGTGAGTGTAACAATGACTCCACTTGGTGCTGCACAGAGGCCAGTATTCCCTGAAGTGAACAGCCATGATTCAGTGTCTTTCTTGCTCTTCTCTGTTTAGTGAGAGACCGTATGCGTACAGCAATCGGCCAAGCGCGGCTGTTGATGAAAGAGCGTTTCAACCAGTTCAGCGGTCTGGTGGACGACTGCGACTTGGGCCGAGGGGAGAAGATCACCACCTGCACTGATCTGCAGGGCTTCTGGGACATGGTTTATTACCAGGTGAGTGCCTCATGGGAGAGGATCAACACATTGATTCAGTCACCAAAAACGCAAAGAGAGAAACCATATTTATTGTACTTTTCAGGTAGAGGACGTCAACAAGAAGTTTGACGCGCTCAAAGGAGCAGAGGGCCGAGGCTGGCTGGAGGAGCACAAGCCCCCGCCACGACAGAGGAAAGTAGTGAAGGTGATTACAATTAAATAAAATTAGACGTATAAACGTTGTTGTATAACTTTCCATATTTTTGTGCTTTATTTATTTTTAATATTTGAAAACTGACATAATGATCACACGCTACCCATTTACCTTACATTACTGTCTCCATTTTCATCACATTTGTCTATAATCTTCACCAGAGGCAAAAGAAATGCAGTGATGTGAACATCATGTCCATCATTTTATTTTTGACAGAAACCGTCAGTTGCACCTGCCAAGCCAACAGGAACCAAAGTGGCAGCCAAGTCTCGTCTGGCTGCCGTGAAAGCAGCCATGAAAGCACGACAGCAGGCGGCCGAGGCAGAGAAAGCTGCAAAGGATGCTGGTAATAGTGAGGATGAACCCAGCCTGAACTCTGAGGAGCCCAAACCCCCGGCAGAGCCCAAAGTGCCAGACACCATGGTCTTTGATGGAGGCTTCTTCCAGGTGGAGAGCCCAGCCAAAACCCCAAGTGAGAGAAATGTGTATATGTACCAAAGGCCTTTCTTTTCATGTGGCCTTCTTTCCTGACTATAAGATTTGGAGCCATGTTGTATAAGCGTTTTTGTCTCTGTAGGTTCAGTGAGGAGATCCAGCCGACTGAGTGCTGCTGTGCTGCCTCAGGCCTCCCCCTGTTCCAACTATCTCACCCCTAGAAGATTCACCCGCCGATCCCTCGCATTGGCACAGACCCCCGTCCAGGCCGTCGCCTCTCCTGCTCAGCTTGTCCTTACTCCCGCCCCGCTGCATCTTACCCTTAATCCAACGCCAAAGTCTCAGCGTGGCACTCCTCGGACATCCCAGAAGAAACAGGACACTGTAAATGTCTCTCTGTGTTTCTCACCTGCAAAGGTGGTGCCTTCAGACGACACCCAGCCTGAGGGAAGCTTCTCACAACAGACTGACACTGTCTCTACACAGGAAAACCCTGCCTCTGTTCCTGAAGCAGGCACAGTCATACCTGTAAATTCACTTCCATCCATAACTGTTGTGGATGAGCAAGAAGAACCAGCTGAAGCTGTTGATGTTGTCCTTGCTGCCTCTCCATGCAAATCGCCTCCTCCTGTCTCCCAAGCCCCTGAGGCCTCATCATCTCTGAGCTTCTCGCTATCACCCTGTGCAAGTCCTAGCCAGCCTCCCATCTCCGCCCTTCCTGCTGTGCAGGGCCACATTGAGGCACTAGACTCAGTGTGCTGCACACCAGACACCTCAGTTGTTGAGGTAAACAATTATTCTGTCTTCACTACAATTCTCCCTTTTTATTGAAATAATTTCTCATTCAAACTTAAGATGTGATCCAAAGAATATTCTCTTTTTGTACAAATAAGCAAAGAATTCTTTTGTAACTTTAGGACATTCCTGGGTTGGACTTTGAGCGTTACCTTCAGCCATCACAGAGAGGCAGCATGTCACCCAGGGAGACAGTTGCCGTGGAGACACTGTCACCCATGGCAGTAGATGTTGAGATGGAGAGTCCCAGAGGTCAATCTGATGATCTGCTGACTCAACACGAAGCAGGTATGATTGATGCCCACAGGTTCTGTGCATGCACACACTCTGGGTAAACCTGGGTCTTTTTCGTTTTTCACACACATGGATATTTAAGCTGCAGTAGCAGGAAGTTGAGGCTCATTTATGGCACCTTTACGTCCAAAAAGAGATGTGTCCATCTTAAATGATGTAAGCATCACTGTCTTCATGGTTCCACATGTCCTTAACGTTGGTATGGTTGTTAAGCATTACATCCTCTAAGGGGTAGCGTGGGGGAGAGTTTCAGACAACAGCTAATATGACGGTGATGGAGGAGGTTGAGATCATGTAGCTAAGGGCAAAGTATCGTCATATAAAGATGCCTGTAGTTTCTAAACGAAAGTCTCCTTAAAAAGTTCTCCTTGTCGTCTTGCCTGAAGTATTAGCTACACTGCCCCCCCATGATCTCTGGTGGTACTGCTACATTGTGTCTGTTTCATTCATATCTGTAATCTCTCAGAAGGAGTGCACGAATACGGATGAAACAGAACGTAGAGAAGGCTCCGATCATATCTGTGTGCATATCTAAAGTTGAGCATAAATGAGCTTTTAGTAGTCTATAGAGAAATAGATTCATTTGAAGAAAAGTCTAAGGCCTCAGATTTTAGATCTTTATACTGGAACTTTAAACGAAATGTGATTTCACTGAGCTTAATAATGGTGTCGATTTGAATATTTTTTACGGTTGTCACTCACTGTTCACTTTCTCACTGTCACCACAGCTGCAGCGGTGCCTTCAGTGTTAACTCTTCAGTCACCACAGGTTAAAGTCTTTTCAATTTTCAAATACCTAAATACTTTGACAAACTAGACACTCAACTGATACTTTTATTTTTATTATTACAGCCTTGTCATTATTTCTGAACTTTCTTTGTTTGTTTGTTTTTTAGGTCAAGAGTCTGACAGCTGAGTCTGACCTGCTTCTTTTCACTCCGGACTTGAAAGACCGGATACGTCAGTCTGTTTGTCCGAGTGACCTCATGGTCTTCACACCTCCCTCTAATGTGTAGCAAAGATTTCTTTTTATATTTTAAATTTTTTATGAATATCTACTTTTATTACTCCCTTTTGGAGAAAAAAAAATATGTATCTGATTTTAACATTTATTTTTAGATGAATGGAAAATAGTGTCGTACAAGATGGTTTGATTAAAGTTTGAGTTAAAACAAGAAAAGGTTCTTTTTTTTTTTTTACACTCAATCACCAATCAACAATACTCAAAGCTTTTAATCCAGTAATTGAAGGATCTATAGATTTTGTTTGGTTTGAGCTCTTACTGCTCCTTCTGATCCACAGCCAACAAAGATTAAAGTGGAATAGAAGGTCAAAGTTGCCACCTGGTGGCTGCTTTGTGAAATTTTCTATAGTATGAATTTTAAAAAGTGACATTAGTCCTAGTAGTGCTGTTTAGACTTCAGTCAGTATTCAGTTTTTGCAATTTCTGTCTTGAAATCAGAAAAAGTTTAATGCACACAGTGAAAAAATCTTATATTCTCACCAATTCATAAACATGTTCTGACAAAACCACTGTAACGATGCATATAAACCAATTTTATCAAGCTTTTGACTTCAAAATGTCAACTGACCCAACAAAGACAAATCTAGTCTACCTGTCTCGTTTGGCTTTTGCTATTGATTTAACTTCTGACGGAGTTTATCTTCCTCCATGTATTTAGTCACTAACTGGTAATGGTCAAATGCAGGAAAGAAAATTTGGTTGAAGAACTGATGAATCGTCTGGTCTTTGGCCTCCATGTCCTTCCTCTCAGCTCTATGTTCTTCTCTGTGCACTACAAAAGACCGCACATTTTAATAAATATTAGACCAAACATTAGCTCGTATGTCATGTTTGGATCCATAAGTTTGAGGATTCTGATAACCAAGACTAAATATCTCAGATGAAAACATGTTTCCGACATCAAATAGAAACCAGTAAAACAAACCTGCAGACCGAGGTTCTTCGCAGACTTTAGTCTTGACATCTTGTTGACTCTCTCTGACGTCCTGAGCAGGAGAGTTCAAATAAAATATCACGTTTGATTCCATATTTCATTAACTCCAACAGCAGAGATGTAATAAGATCAACCATGCAAATGGAGGCTTCTCTGATCCTACATAAAAGAGGGAAGGATGGTTTAAAAATATAGACTGGGTATGGGTGTACAGAGGTCATGAGAGTCTCAAAGACGAGTCTGACCAACTGCATGGCTGCTTGTAGTCGGTAAGATTTTTCCGCTGTCTTACCTTGGAGAGATCTCTGGACTCTGCATCTGATCTGAACGGGGAGCAGCTCTCCTCCAGCTTTTCAGAAACCTGCTGACACTTCACTTCAGCGCAGCCCAGGAGCACCTCAAAAAACTCCAGGAATGTGATCTGCAGCAGGAAAAGAGTGAGAAAGAGAGGGCTGGAAGGAATACAGGTGGATGAACGGTAATCTAATGAGTCAACGTGTAGACGCAAGAGATCGAACCTCCAGATTCAGGCAGGATGACACGTTGTTGGGTTCTTGGCTCTCTGCAGCAATGATATTTAGTAACCTCACTGTGGTCAGGTTATTGTCCAACAGACGCAGATCCTGGCGGGGGTTACGAATAAACTGATCAACACAATGTCTTAAACACGCTTGTCATCATTTTCTGTTGGACAAACATCCATGCAGTAGTTTGATGTATTCTTCTATAATTAAATTCAAAAAGATTTAACATCAAGCAGATTTCTGTTTGTGAAACAGAAACTGCAGCCATCACTTAAAGCATGCTAACAGTGAAAATGGACAATAATTAGTATGTATGGAAATGTTCATGTGTGAGTGTTGCACCTTGAACATCCACAGCAGCTGTCTGCAGGTCATGGTCTGGTCATCTCCTGGGGCTGCGTGGACCCTGCACCTGGCCTGATAGACGTCCCAGCACCTACTCATGTAGTTCAGAGCCGCAGCTGAAATGTCTGGTTGTCCAAACAGGAAACCTGGATGGAAAAAAAACTGCAGTTATTAAGCATCACTGCGTAATATAGAGCTGAGAAACTGTGTTGATTACGACACCAGACAAGGACTGAAACATCAGCGGTACAAGTAGTTGCCACCTTTGACATTCTTGGCATTGGGAAGGATGTCGTCCGTCATCAGTTTGGAGAAGCAGGAAGCCAGAAGGTACTTTTGTGACCTGGTAAAAAAAAATAAAAAAGAAGAAGCGATGCTTTAAATTCAAAGTCACACTCAGAGGACAATAAAGTTTATAGTCTTGTCTGTGTTTTGATCCTGGGAGAGGTGGTTATTCTGTGACCCATATCAGTGAAACATTTGCAACTGGAGATCATGTGTGTATGGACAGAATTTCTAGTGGATTCTGAGTGGTCTACAGACAAGGACCATCCCTAGAACAATTCTACTAGCAAAGCTAAAAAAGTCACTTAATTAAAATCCTTCACATCTACTGATGATGATCTGCATGAAAATGTTTATTTCTTACTCCATGTTTTCATTGTAGATGTGATGGGCCACGATCACTAGACAGCTGAGGAGCCTACGAAGCGGGATGAGGGTAAAAGGAGACTGGACCTGTGTGGTGGAATCCTCTGAGACACAAAGAGAGACAACATTAAGCCCCACAAATGCTGTAATTATGAAACTATGAATTTTCTGCCCTGTACACAAACAAACTGGAATGTGAGATATAGAAACATTAGTGAATGGCAGTCCCTCTCACCTTGGATTAAACTGTCTATCTTTGTCAGAGTGATGCCATGATGGTGGATGTTACAGTCTTTGAGCAGGCGCCAGAGCTGCAGGCGGGACAGCAGGAAGGTGTTGTCTGAGGAGCTGACGTGACCGAGTCTGCAGTAGAAGCTGTAGATGGACCGCAGCTCTGCGTCCTGCCTCAGCACCACAAACTCCAACTGTTACTCGTGGAAACACAGGATCACATGTAAGGTAAAGCTCATGCTGCACGTTGGTGATTTTACAGTGAAGCAGAATCTGACCTGTTTGAGTTCAGTGTTGCGCTTTTTCTGAGGGATTTTATCCAGAAGACTTTTAATGTTCAGGCTCACGTCTGCTCCGAACACAGATGAAGCACTACCTGACAGAGTAGGTGCACCTGCAACAAGAGACAAAACTGAAAGCCGTCAGAAGGTCTTATCCGTATTTGAGGTTCTGATCATCTCCTCGTTAGGAGACTGGGCATTTTTAATGGAGGTAATGTGCTGTAGCTGTTTACCACACAGAGGAGTGCCAGCTCTGTTTCCATTCAATTCGTTTGTCATCATGTGATCGTCCACAAATTCTCCTTCAAAAACATGCCCATCCTTAGAAGTGAATTTCCCCTATGAACAAAAGTCACTTTTAGAAAGTCATATAATGTGTACGATTTAATGAAAAATGTCAAATCTCTCTGGGCACATATGTATATTGATAGAATGAGATTTACCTTCCCATGTTTTTTATCGTTCCTCCATTCTCCTTCATAGATTGCACCATCAGCATAGAAAAATGTTCCCCGTCCGTGCCTCTGACCCTGAACGAAATCCCCAGTGTATCGATTACTCTGAGAATACTGGGCTCCATCAGTTTGCCTCAGCATCCAGACATGTGTTCCTCGCCCATGCTGCCAGAGAGGAGAGCTCATGTTATTTACAACAAAAACAGAAAGTAAAGGTTAAGGCTAAATTTAAGGTATGATTCCATGGTGGGCTTTCAGACCTGGACCCCATCCTGCCACATCCCAGCATACTCCTGTCCCAGCTGCAGCCACCTCATCGTGCCCTCTCCGTGCCTCAGGTTGTTCCTCCACTCACCAGAGTAAATGTTACCAGAGGGGTAGCTGTTGAAAAACAGACGTTGCCCTTTTTAGTTCAAATGTAACTCAGGCTACAGGTTGATCACTTGGTTGATCGTTTACCATGTACGCACCATCTCACTCCGAATCCCTCTCTGCTGTTCTTCACCCAGTCTCCTTTGTACGATGAGGTCTTACTCTGGTTATAAAACATTTCACCCTAACACAAACACAACCAATTAAAGAACATGGAAAAAAGAAAATCACCTCACCTCATAATATATTTATTAACCATACCTTTCCGTGCCTCTTGCCCTTATCCCACTTCCCTGTGTATGACACTCCATCTTTGGCACATTCATAAGTTCCTGTCCCATGTCGGACACCGTCATAGACCTCTCCTTTATAGGAGCTGCCATTTTTCCAAGTGTAGGTACCATGACCCATGGGCATGTTGCAAACAAATTCCCCCTGTTGGTTAAAAAAACTTTGATGAGATCATATAAATTATAAATGTATTATTATTTCTACTTATTTTA